ATTGTGCTCGCCACGTCTGTCCGTCTGTCTGTCTGTCTGTCTGTCCGTCTGTCCGTCCGTCCGTGACCTCAAGTTTTCGTCGACGAGAAAATGCGCTCTCTGTCACTCACTGCAGTGAGTACTGAGTTATATTTATTATATATACTATTGCTGTATATTTATATATACAGTCTGCTATAATATTATTATATTAGTATAGCGGACCTGCAAGAAGCGCCAGCCGTCCGCCACCCTGACGAGGACGGCCTCCTCGTCCATCAGGAAGGCCAGGCCGCCTACAGGCGTCGCCGCGGTCATCTGACGTGTGAAGAAGTGGGTCATCTTATGTCCTGACACACTTTCTCGCCCATAGTGGGTCATCTTATGTACTGACACACTTTCTAGCCTATAGTGGGTCATCTTATGGCCTAATACTGACACATTTTCTCGTCCATAGTGGGTCATCTTTTGTCCTAATACTGACACACTTTCTCGCCCATAGTGGGACATCTTATGGCCTAATAGTGACACACTTTCTCGCCCATAGTGGGTCATCTTATGGCCTAATGCTGACACACTTTCTCGCCCATAGTGGGTCATCTTATGTCCTAATGCTGACACACTTTGCCGCCCATAGTGGGTCATCTTATGTACTGACACACTTTCTCGCCCACAGCACGGGCAGAGAGCGGACGTACGGTATCACTGATACGCTCTTTCGCCGGGCCGAAAAAGTGGTTCAGGATGACCCAAAAAAGGGTAAAAAGTGCATCGCTATTTGGACAAAGTCTCACTCATTTCTCTGACTGAGCCATTAACCGCCATTCTTATTCTAAGTCCCCTGACCATGAAAATAAAAAGTGCAAAGACTGATATCTTATCGAAGTAAAGAGTGGAAATTTTAGTCATATTTCAGGATATGGCCTAATAGTGACACACTTTCTCGTCCATAGTGGGTCATCTTATGTACTGACACACTTTCTCGCCCATAGTGGGTCATCTTATGGCCTAATACTGACACACTTTCTCGCCCGCAGCACGAGCAGGGGGCGGACGTAGGGTACTAAGGGTAGCACTGATACGCTCGTTTGATGGGCCGAAAAAGTGGTTCAGGATGACCCAAATTAGGGCAAAAGCGCATCGAGATTTGGACAAAGCCTCACACATTTCTCTGAATAAAGTCGGGGAGAATTTCACTCCACGAGCCATTAAGAGAAATTCTTATTCTAAGTCCCCTGACCATGAAAATAAAAAGTGCAAAGACTGATATCTTATCGAAGTAAAGAGTGGAAATTTTAATCATATTTTGAGATATAATCAAATAAGTTAATATTTGCTGATCGAATTATTAAATCTTTTTAATCTTCAGGAGTGAACAGCTCAATTATTTAACCTTAATCATATTTAAGATATAATCAAATAATTTAATATTTAATGATCGAATGATTAAATCTTTTTAATCTTCACGAGTGAACAGCTCAATTATTTACCAAATTGAAGCATTAATTCATTACCAACTGAAGCGACAGAGGTTCATTACTGTACTACTTGATCAACAATATTAATGTATATTATATTCAGATTTAATTAAACACAGATAATGTATGACCTTCAACATAGCTTGTCGGTCCGTGAAGGTCACGGCCCCTGGGGCCATGCTGGGCGCCCCCCCGGCGGTTGACCCTCCCGGGGGCCCAGGTGGCCCAGGCGGTCCAGGCGGACCTGAAAAAATTAAATAAATTAAAATAAATTAAACCGTAATAATTGATAAATAAATAGACTTATAGACCCGTAAATGGTTGTGAAGTATTGACTTAGGGTCATTATATTTTGAATAATAAAAAAACTGTTAATAATATAAACCTAAAAGTTTTAAAGCTTAAACTCTCATTTTTTAGTTTTACATTTCTTCCCTCAACGCGCCATCGCATTCAAGAGCAAAAAGAAAATTAACAATAAGAAGTTAATTAACATAAATGACTTACAAATATTAAGAAAGTAGGTTATTATTATTAAGGCATGAAATACGAAAGAAGATCAAATAAAGTAAAACAACCACTCAACTAAAATAAATAATAAATAATAATATATACATAGTATAGAAATTTGGATAGATAATATTGAGTTTTATACAATATTATTTTTATTGTATAGTTATTCTAATATATTATAGAGTTATATTATATTATAATATATTGTATAGAGTCATAATATATTATACAATATATAATATCTGTCTCTTATACACATCTAGATGTGTATAAGAGACAGGTATTATGCCGCACATAATATTATGTTTGCATGATTTCTGATGAATAATATTTTTATAGTTGATAATATAAATAAAAATGATATATTATAGTTGATGTAGTGTCATAGTATGTATATATCTATATTATTTTGAAATTTGTGTTACAGATTGACGAGACTGACACACTTCAGCTGAAAATAGTAATAGGATTCAGAGTATCAAAACCAAATATAAAATAGAATCTGTGTTAAAAATAAGAGAAACTTCATGTATAAAAAAAATTTGCATAATAAAATTAACTATTTGAATGATAAATAAACAAATAAATTATAGAATATGAGTGTAAAACGGGAGAAACTCCGTGTATAAAAAAAATTTTAAAATATAATTAACTATTTAAATGATAAAAATATAAAAAAATTATAGAATATGAGTTTAAAACGGGAGAAACTCCGTGTATAAAAAAATTTCATGATAAAATTAACTTTTTAGAATGATAAATAAACCAAAAAAATTAAGTAAAATAAGCGAAATACCAGGTAAATAGGAGGACTGGGTGGCCCAGGTGGTCCAGGAGGCCCAGCGGGGCCAGGTTCTCCACGAAGCCCAGGCAACCCGTACCCAGGAGGCCCAGGTGGGCCCTCGGGCCCCATGGGTCCAGGTCGACCCTGCATTTAACATCGAATCCACCGTGGATGAATAATTAAATTACATTTATAAATAATAATTAATATAATTTATAAATAATAATAAATAATTAAACATTTAAATGCTAAAGGTTGTATAAAGTTTATCGATTTGCTCTCCAAAAAAGATTATTAAACGCTTGATATATAAATTTAATAGTAGATGCTTAAATTTTTTTAGCATTTGATAGATGGGTCAAATTGTCCAAAAAGTGACACACTTTCTCGTCCACGTCACGAGCAGAAAGCGGCCGTAGCACTGATACGCATTTTTGCCGGGTCAAAGACCCAAATAAGCGAAAAAGTGCATCACTATTTGGACATAGTTTCGTATATTTTTCTGAGTATGCAGATGCGAGGAGAATTTTTTCTAGGTACAAGAGGAAAGCATTTCAGGTACAGACGAAAAATTTACATTTGGGATTTTTGTAAGTTCAATAGGATGAGGAACACGTTTTTCTGAATACATGCATTAGGAAGTTGAGAGGTTTGAAGAAATTATTCCCTTTAAGAAAAATAAACACAAGAAGGAACGAAAGTCAGCCCCGTAATGACAATAAAATATGAAAAATATGTAAAAAAAATTCCATAGAGATAAGACGAAAATTTGACGGCTTTCCAGCAGTTTCAGGTAATGGAAATAAATAACGTTATAATATAGAGGTATGCATGGATTTGAATTAAAAAAACATTTTTATGTTATTTAGACCCGACTTGGCCTATTGTGGAGTTGAATTGCGTTTGCATTTACTTAAAGCGGCGGCAGGCGGAGGGCAGAGGTGCGTGTTTATACATTAAAATGTCATTTATTTTTTAAAAAAAACGAGTAAAATTGAAAATAAATGAGATCGTTTCAGATGAATCTAAATTCCGTCGCCTCGGACGAGACCCAACATTAAAATGTATATACAATAATCGAGCGCATGGCAAAAATGTAGTCAATCTGGAAACTTTCTTATTAAATAAATGGCCTGAAATTTACTGTTTATAAAAAAGTCTTAGTTAAATTCGCTTTATTATAAGTTGTACCACGAAGCGAGGAATTGAATCTTAATGAAGATTGACATCGAAAAAACACACTAGCCAATGATATTTTCTTAGCAAAATGAACATGTACAACAAAAAACTACGAGTGTAAATATAACAGAAACATGGAAATAGCAAGCAAATTGTCATACTTACATCGGTCGAGAACGATACGAATATTTATTTGAAAATTACCAATGGACATCAATATTATAGGTTTGAAGAAAGAATACGAGAACATTAGCTAGAAGTCAAGTTGGATTTGTGTGTAGTGTGTACTTTACAAATGAGTGTAAAAATGATCTTCTCAGGCAATAACACGTTAAAAGATAAGAAAATGAGCATTTTCATTAAAAAAAAATAATTTTTAGACATGAAAAGTGAAATGAATTTTACAGCATGAATGAATAGAGTATACAACATCTACACAGAGAAAGTACTAACTACAAAATATAAAATAAAATAGTATTCAATTTAACGAGAAAACAAAAATTTCAAACGAACCCTTTCGAATGAGAAAAATTCTATACATTCTATAAACAATTCAAGTTCATTACAAGAGAAGTCTGTCGCCTATGATAATACTATGCATTTTATTTAAGAATACTACTTTTTTCCAAAAGTAGTATACTTTTAAGTATACTACTTTTTATACTAAAAAATAAGTAGTATACTTATTTATTTTACTTATTTATTTTAAGTAGTCTACTTAAAGTATACTACTTTTTTCCTATCAGCTTAGAAAATACGTTATACTTTTTCCAGAAGACAACTTTCACAAAAGAATATTGTCGTATTTATGTCCAGCACTCACCGGCCAGCCAGGGAAGCCATGCTCCCCCTTCTGTCCAGGGGGTCCTGGGGGACCAGGCTTGCCTCTCTTGCCCCTCTGGCCTCTGTCACCCTAGTTGGGGTTAGTTAACTCGAGTATTAGTCACCCTAGTGCATAAGTTACTCTAGCGCAATAGTTACACTAATGCTTTAGTTACCCCTGGTTCTTTAGTCGCCACATTGCTTTAGTTACCTGAGCGCATTAGTTATTCTAGTCACCCTAGTTCGTTATTCACCCTATTGCATTAGTCACCCTAGTGCATGAGTTACTCTAGTGCAATAGTTACACTAATACTTTAGTTACCCTGGTTCTTTAGTCGCCACATTGCTTTAGTTACCTGAGAGCATTAGTTATCCTAGTCACCCTAGTTCATTATTCACACTATTAGATTAGTCACCCTAGTGATTTAGTCACCCGAAGCGGTGCTATTAAATACTTCTTAACATTGCTCTGCTACTCGTTTTTTATTAACAAATCATATTAAGTATAAACAATTATTACACCTTCGATAATAGATTATTTTTCCAAGCTACTTAATGAACAATATTTAGAAGTAGATAAAGTAGTTGTTATATCACAGAAGACACTTCAGTTTTTTCATTTTTTCATCAATAATGAATTTATGAGGAACTATTGATTAAAGAAAGATATGAAATAACCGCTATATTAAATTACAACATCAAATTAACGACCTAAGCATTAAATGCACCGTTAAACGCCCAGCAAATATTTAGGATTACATTACATTCAAAATTAAGTATTTAATAACATTGAAATGTTACTGAAGGTGTTGATGGTAAATAAGCACATTTCTGATATACTCATAGATGTTATCTCGGTATTTACTTCCGATAATTACGATGTTTAGCCCACAAATGAATGTTATAGATTTAAATGTTATACAACCGTTAACGTAATGAAATAAATTAATTGAAAGATGGAAAGTCGCTGATTAATTGAGCTGTAATTATGCAGTTATTAAACAATTATGTAATTGTTCTATTGTGAAGACAAGTGAGACGAAAATTTTATTCACAATTGTTTAAGAAATACAGTTGTGAAAATAATTATATTTATTAAACAATGTTAGGCCCCCCCACCTTAATGATGGTGACAGCCTTGCCGTCGGGGAAGGACATGGCCCCAGGGGGACCCGGGGGCCCATCTGACCCCTTCTTACCAGGACTCCCCATAGCCCCCTTGAGACCCGGGGCCCCATGTGGACCAGGAGGGCCCACGTCACCCTGAATAGTTTACATTACTTCAATATAGAAGTTTATTATTGTTTTTTATACAACTGTAATAAATGAATAAATTCTTTTGAACTTAATTTTTATAATTACTTCTCATAAACTTTAACATAGAATCATTGGTATCATTCCATTAATGACATCGAATTTTATAAAAGTTAAAAATCACATGAAGAAACGAGACAAAACTCATAGGTGGCAGGATTTAATGTTGAACACAAGCAAGTGATATAATATTATAAATTTTCAAGAATATAAAATAAATATTGATGGAATATTTTTTATTTTAATCTCAAAATATTCCGGCCGAGTTAAAAAATCTTAAGAATTTGAGACATAAGAAAATTTTTGACAAGTAATTCAATGCAATCGTTATTTCGATATTTTATTTAATTCTGCACAAGTTTGGAAATCAGTTTATTAGTATTTATTATTATTATTACTATTATTATTATATTGTCATTATTATTTTTATTATTCTTATTCTTATTACTATTATTATTATTAATTAGGACCAATAATTTTTAAAACGCACTTTGGGGCCCGGGTTGCCGTGGCGGCCATGTTGGCCCGGGATGCCGGGCTCGCCCTTCTCCCCAGTGAGGCCAGGAGGGCCCATCAGTCCATGAGGTCCCGGGGGCCCAGTGGGGCCTTGGGGACCGGGAGGCCCTTGAGGGCCCACGGGGCCACGGGCACCAGCTCCACCTCCTCCTGGTTTTTTGGACATTGCACAAAGAAAAATTTTAAAATTATAATAAGTATTTTTATTAGTTTTATTCATTTATATAATTTAACTATCGCAAAATATAAGAAGAGAACTTTAAAAACAAATTCATGAAAATAATGAACAATTTTATAAACATTATAATAAACTGACAGTGCCCATTATTCTAAAAACGCTTCAAAATTCTTGAATAAAATTCAACGTTGGGATTTCAAAGTACAATATTCATTTCACTGTAAAACTAGGACAACTTGTGAACGAAGATACATTTAAAAATCTCAAAATTAAAGTTGAAGTAACCGTCCGCTAATTATTGCGCTACAAAATTTCTTCAAACAATTAATATCTGAACGGAAGTCACACGACCTGCGTTTACGTTGTTTAACGCACGTAACGTAACGTAATGCGTAGCGTTTACGTTCCAATAAAAAAATTAAACATAGATCACGCAGAATAAATTCACGATATCTTCGTCAAAAACGTTTTCGCTCAAGATATTAAAAACGAATGATAATTTATTTAGATTATTATTTATTAATGGCGTTATTTTTCGCTTTTGAACAATTGCTGAATTAACTATTTAATAAAATTAATGACGTAAGTGAGCAATCCTTAATAATATGACGCGTTTGCCCAGTTAAGCCTGAATATCCACAGACGGCTTCCAGTTATACGGCATCCGAGACGGAAATCTGCTTGAAATTTAGGTAAGAAAAAATTATGGCTTAGAAGAAACTGTGGCTTCAAAGAAATTGTGGCTCAAGATAAATTGTGGCTCAAACGAAATTATGACTTCAATTTTGGCTTCAAAAAATTGTGGCTTAAAAAATTTGTGGCTCAAAAGAAATTATGACTCAAAATAAATTATGAGTTCGAAGAAATTATGGTTTCAGCTAATCAGCAAGAAAAAAAGATAACAGACAGCAAAAGCAGTAGCTGTTTTTGTTGACAATCAGATGCAGCGCTAAAATAGAAGCAATAAGAACAGATAACAGTCAGTAACAGCAATGACAGGATGTGTGAGCGAACAGATAAGCACAGAGAGACAAGAAGAAGGAATTGGAGCGAAACTAACAATAATAGAATAAATAAGAACATGAGCAACAAATAAGCTCAATAGAGGCAACAATGAATATTGCAATGCACAGAGGAACTGGCAAGCGCGACCACTGAATGTCCACTGAATTTAACTACAAGTTTAAGCATCGATTAAGTTTAAGTTTCATCGTCAAGTTTAAGTCTAGTTTCAAGTTTAAGCACAGGACAGGTCAAGTTTATGTTCAGATCATAGACTGGCTCATGCAGTGAAGGCTCAATCAGCGTATCCGTCGTTGTTATGGCCTGAAGTTCATCCTTTTTAGATTTAGCATTCTACATATTATTACTCGTGATTTCTATGGCATTGTACGTGTGTTCGATGGTTCTTGGTTTCACTAACTTAATTATTCGTTGGTGATACAAGATACTGCCGCTTAGTGGCGAACTTAAGAAATTATCATTGGATTTGACTTTATTATCCTAATTTGTTGAGAATTTATCCTAATTTACAATATCAATATAAAAATATGTCCGGCTCGCATTGATGCATTTTAAAAGTGGAGTTGATCACGATTGGAAAAATTAGTAAAATCTCATAAAACAATTTTTTTGTTCATGAGTAAGGCGGTGGATAAAAAAACGAACGGTTAAGAACAAAGGCGTAAATGTTAAAAATTGGGCAGGATTTCACAAATTGTAAAATAAAAAACGTAGCACTCTCTACTAATCCACCAGGGACCGATCTCACCCTCAAAATTTAAGAGATATTTTTTACCTGAAATGCAAATTTGTTTGGCGGCAAAGAGACGTGCACTGAGAAATATGAATGGGTCATATCGTCCAAATAATGATACACTTAGCACAGTACACTCTTGTACCGGGTAAACCGACATACAAGGGCGAAAAAGTGCATCCTTATTTGGACAATAAGCCACTCATTTCTTTGAGTGCTACAGGGTCACTCACCGGCGGGGACAAAAGGGGTGTAGGAAAAGCCGGAGCCTTCCTGCAGCAAATCCTCGTCGTCTAGGGGGATTTCACGTAACACTCAAGGTGGGGGACGTGCGTGGGGAAAATATTGGAGGGGGGATTTCAGTTGAGCACTTAAAAGGAGGGAGGTGAGTGGGGAAAATGTCGGAAGGGGAATTTCAGGTTATCCTTCAAGATGGGGAGAGGAGCGTGGGGGGCGAATGTCGGGGGGTATTAGGTTAACACTCAAGTTGAGGAGAGGTACGTGGGGAAAGTATCAGGGGGATATTATGCGATGATGTGATATGCACGGCAAACATGAAAAAATACACTGTATTAAATCATGAAAACGCGGTGCAACGGTCAAAACTTGGATTAGATAACAATGCATACCAACAATTATGTTAAACAATATAAGGTGAAGACACATTTATTTATCACTCACCATCAAGACATAATGTAAACAACAAAGTTAAGTGACAATTTGCGACGTAGCAGCTACAAATATACACGAGTATCTAAACGTTGATGTTGCGTACCACTAAGTCAGGAAAATACCACAATTGTAAACATTTATATGACAAAATACATCTACATATTTCAATACTTCATACCAGAGAAAATAATAATAATAATAACTGAATAAGGAGCTGAGCTCTACAGCCCATTAATTTCAAGCATGGTATCTGAAAATGATTTATTTAACAATTGTTTCAGTAGTAAATTGAGATAAGTATCAACAATTTAAAAGCAAAGAAAACAGCCAGGATATTAACCATTTCTTAAGAATGAAAACGTTTTGGAGTCCAGCTCCATCGTCAATTCAAAAGTTTAAAACCAGTAAAACGTGGTAAAGTGAAAGCGTAAAATTACGCTTTCCCTTTACGCTTACGGAATTTACGCTTTCCCTTTACCACGTTTACTGGTTTTGAACTTTTGAATTGACGATGGAGCTGGACTCTAAAACGTTTTCATTCTTAAGAAATGGTTAATATTCTGGCTCTTTTCTTTGCTTATAAATCTTTGATTAACTTGCGATTTAAGCAATCTAGTAGTTTTATTACAAGTATCAACAACCATCGTGTTGAAGGAGTTGAATTGGATTGGGAGAAACCAGATACGTTCCTAGTTATAGGAGAAATTGGTTGTAAAAAGATAAATGTTAAGATCCTGATACTGGCTTTTAAAAGGGTTGACGAGATATAATTTTTGCTATGGAAGGCTCGTGTTTTGAGGAAAATAGAGTAAATATCTGGATTTTAGAATGGATAATAATCATTGTTCAAAAGCTTCAGTTGGGCGAATATAATATACGTAAAGGCTACCTTGATACCGAACGATTTAACACCATGTTATATTTTCAATGCATCGTAAAAAATGCGTTAATTATACAAATGATTTCATTTAACTTTTAATGCAATGAATCAATAAGACATCATCGAACTTCCGGCCATGAATAGCAGCGATATTCGTGCACTAAAGTTCAACTTAAAAGTGAACTCCGCATGTAATTTTTGTAGAAGTGTAAAGTTCCCTGCAGAAGTTTAACGTTCTCTGCAAAAGCGTACAATTTTGTGTAAAAGCGTAAAATTTTTGCAGAAGAGTAAAGTTTTCTGCACAAGTTTAAAGTTCTCTACAGAAGAGTAAAGTTCTCTGCAGAAGAGTAAAGTTCTCTACAGAAGAGTAAAGTTCTTGGCAGAAGAGTAAAGTTCTCTACAGAAGAGTAAAGTTCTCTGCAGAAGAGTAAAGTTCTCTACAGAAGAGTAAAGTTCTCTGCAGAAGAGTAAAGTTCTCTACAGAAGAGTAAAGTTCTCGGCAGAAGAGTAAAGTTCTCTACAGAAGAGTAAAGTTCTCGGCAGAAGAGTAAAGCTCGGTGCAGAAGTTCACAAGCGGCAACTAATTAAATAAAACAAACGTGAAGGCACAAACTTCCTGCATACACAAGCTTAGGCATAAGTTGCAGTAAACAGAGCGAGGTTATGGCCGACCTCTCATGCAGAAGCAGGAAATAAACAATGCGAAAGAAAAATAAAAGAAGAAAAATTTACGAGAGAATTCACGACAAATTTTGGGATCTGATGAATTAACTGAATATTAAGTTTCTAGCCAATCTGGCAAAAGGAAAAATACGAAATCGTTCCCATCTCCAAATATTAAATATATTAAATATTTTAATGTTTGTACGATTGTCACTCCGATTGAAAATCTTATCACACCTTTTGACACTTGCAATGGTACCACAAGGCTACCCTCTCATTCCACCAACCATCAATCACCAGCCTCACCGACACTCACCCCACTCATCATCAATCACCATTTTCACCCCACTCACTCCACCCAACATTAATCCTCACCCATCATCAGTCACCACCAACACTCTCATTCACCCTATTCATCATCAATCACCAATTTCACCCCACTCTCACTCCATTCACCATCAATCCTAACCTATCATCAATCACAATTTTCACCCCTACTTACTCCACCCATCATCAATCCCCACCCTCACCCCACCTATCATCAATCACCCCCTAAACCTCCACTCACCCCACCCACCAAGAATACCCAAAGTCTCACCCCACACCCCCACTCACCGGTCCAGGGATGCGTAACATTTGGTCCCCGTCTGTCCCACACCTGGAGTCCAGCGTCCCCTGGATCGCCCAGATGGCGCCCCTCCAGCACATCCAGCACCCGACGTACCACCTCCGCCTCCGCCGCGGGGGTCAGTCCGCCAGCTGGACCGGGGGCCCCAGGCAGCCCCACGCCCCGCAGCCCCCGTTCCCCTGTGGCCCAAGAGGGAACAAAGTCGAATTTGCAATACACTCAGAAAAATTTGGGGCCCCAGGCAGCCCCACGCCCCGTAGTCCCCTTTCCCCTGTGGCTCAAGGGGGGACAACGTCGTATTTGCCATACACTCAGAAAAATTAACTAATTTTGTTGTTAATGTCCAAAACGTGGCACACACTTTTTGTACGTAGCACTGATAAGCCCTTTTGCAGGATAAAACTGGGTAAGGATGACTAACACAAGCGCAAGTAGTCTCACTTATTTCTCTGAGTGTACACAGCAAAAGTTTGTGAAATATTATGGTTAATACTATTAATATTATTAATAAAAATAATTAATATTATTATTATAATTTATATCACTTATAAGATACATACAATTATTGATAATATTAAGTAAAACCTATGAGGACAGTGTCGTATTTGCCATACACTCAGAAAAATTAACTGAGTTTATTGTTGTTGTCCAAAACGTGACATACACTTTTGTACGTGGCACTGATAAGCCCTCTTGCAGGATGAAACTGGGTAAGGATGACTAACACAAGTGTAAGTAGTTCACCTCATTTCTTTGAGTGTACACAGCAAAAGTTTGTGAAATATTATGGTTAATACTACTAATATCAGTAATAAAATAATTAATATTATTATCATAATTTATATCACTAATATGATACATACAATTGTTAATAATACTGAGTAAAACACAATGAAATATTTTACATGATAATTATGTAAATATTTATTGTATTTACTATTACATGTAAATATCATACTAATAAAGAAAATTATTATGCAAGTCGAAGGAGGCATATTGATACACAAAGAAGCAGTAGCACTAAATATCGAGGAGCTTTTAACTCTACGGATTTTGCTACCAGTATTCAAATACCTTCACTGACAACGAAATAATTTAATCGAAGTGATCGAATCGAATGAGTTTGAGTTTTAAACATAACAGAGAAGTGAACTAAAATATTCAAAAATTTTATTTTCTCAAAACCTAGAAGAATTAATAAAGAGACGAGCACAAACATTGAAATGGAGAAAATGTGTAATTTCAAAAATGTTCAGAAAATAAGTAAGTAAAAAAAAATTCATGTATAATTAAAATAAAAATTCTGAAAATGCGTAGAAGAAAAATTATGCAAATGCATAATTAAACAAATGTTCAGAAAATGCTTAATTAAAAAAAATTTAGTAAATGTGTCATTAAAAAAAATCTGAAAATTATGAATAAACAGTATTCTGAAAATGCATTTTTAATGAAATGTTCAGAAAATGCGTAAATAAACAATAAATATTCACCAGGTTCGCCTTTTTGCCCGGCGCTGCCCTTGTTGCCGGGGACGCCAGGTTGACCGTCTAGCCCAGGGCTCCCCCTCTCCCCCTTGGGGCCATGGAGGCCATCCAGCCCCGTGTGGCCCTGCGTGGGGGAGAACGGGACACTCAGAAGATAGATGGGTCAAATTGTCCAAGTAGTGACACACTTTATCCACGTACGCCCTACAAATTGTGATACTTTCTCGCCCACAGCATGAGCAGAAGGCGGCCGTAGCACTGATACGCTCTTTTGCCGGGTCAAAGAAGTGGGTACGGATGACCCAAATAAGTGTAAAAAGTGCATCACTATTTGGACAAGGTTTCGTATATTTCTCTGAGTATGCAAATGCGAGAAGCATTATTTCTGGGTACAAGAGGAAAGCATTCCAGGTACAGACCAGGAATTTACATGGGGATTTTTGTAAAATTAATGTTATGAGGAGCACATTTTGAGAAATACATGCATTAGGAGGAGGAAAGGAAGTTAAAGGCTTGAGGAAATTATTTCCTTTAAGAAAAAGAAACACAAGAAGGGACGGAAATCAGCCCCCTAATAACAGTAAAAAATGATAAATGTGTAAAAAATTCCACAGAAATAAGACAAAAATTTGGCGGCTTTCCAGCAGTTCTAGACAATGCAAAACAAAAAAAGACAAAGGATTTGAATTAAAAATCTCGTTTTCATGTTATTTATTGACTGGCGTTTGCATTTACTTAAAGTGACAGCAGCCGCAGCGCAGAGGAGAGTGTTTATACATTAATATGTATGAACAACAACCGAGCGTCAGGCAAAGATGTAGTCTAACTATAAACTTTCTTTGTTAATAAATAGTCTGAATTTTATTTTTTTATCAAAAAAATTCTTAATTAAATTCTCTCAAGTATAAATTGGACCAGGAAGCCAGGAATCGAACATTGATGAAGGTTAACATTTAACACCGACAATACACACTAGCCAATGATAATTTCCTAGCGAAAAACAAGATGTACAACAAAAAAGTACAATTATAGATATAACAGAAACATGAAAATAGCAAGAAAATTGTTATACTTACATAGGTTGAGAACGATACGAACATTCATTTAAAAATCGCCAATGAACATCAATATTATATGTTTGAAGAAATAATATAATAATATATACGTAATATAAAAAGTTTGAAAATCAGCATGGACATCAATATAATAAGTTTGAAGCCAGTACGCGAGAACATGAGCTAGAAGTCAAGTTGGATGTGTGTGTAGTGTGTACTTTACAAATGATTGTAAAAATGACGTTCTCAGGCAATAACACGTTAACACGTTTAAAGATATAAAAATTAGCATTTTCATAAAAAAAAACAATCTCTAGACATAAAAAGTGAAATGAATTTGACTGCATGAATGAACGGAGTATACAACATCTACACAGAGGAAGTACTAACTACAAAATATAATGCATGAATGAACGGAGTATACAACATCTACACAGAGAAAGTACTAACTACAAAATATAACATAAAATAATATTCAATATAATGAGAAAACACAAATTTCAAACGAACCACTTCGCATAAGAACAATTCTATACATTTTAATTAATAATTCAAGTTCATTATAAGTGAAGTCAGTCGCCTGTGATAATACTATGCATTTTATTCAAAAAAACTATTTTTTTCCAAAAGAAGCCGGTCAGCTTAGAAAATACGTTATAATTTTTCAAGAAGAAAACTTTCACAAAAAGAACCTTGTCGTACTAGAAAATAATAAATATATTATTAAAGAAAACAACTTTATTACAAACGAACCCTGTCTCCTTTCTTGCCCTTAAGGCCGGGGTAACCCCGCTCCCCTTTGGGGCCTCTGAACCCTCGCTCCCCGGTCTCCCCCATGTACCCCCGCTCCCCCTTCTCTCCAGGGGCACCGGGGGGACCGGGCCGGGCCGGCATGCTATCCAACCCTCCATTCATCTATTTATCAATTATTATATATAAAGAAATAGATAAATTTATTTAAATTTATATAAACAATTAAATAAATGAATTTATAGAAACGACGTTACAGACATAACAAAAAATACAAGAATAAATATTATTTATTATTATATATAAAGAAATAAATAAATTTATTTAAATATATGTAAGCAATTTAAATAAATACATTTATAGAAACGACGTTACAGACATAACACGTTAGGTTCGATACAGGAATGTCTGATGCATCATGCAGAGACGAAAAATTCGGTATAGTGTGTCAAAATATGGGTCATGCAAATAGACAGTGAGTAATGGATGGAAATAAGATGAGCACTGATGCTTATTGAGACAGGGAGAGCGTAAAAATAGATGAACAATAACAATGCACTATGCGAGCACGTAAGAGAGTGTATGTGGTGATGTTGTGAAAATGGTGCGTGCATGTGGTGAATTAGGTATTGAATGGTGATGATGGTGAGTGCAGCAGATGATGGTGAGTGCAGCAGATGATGGTGAGTGCAGTAGGTGATGGTGAGTGCAGTAGGTGATGGTGAGTGCAGTAGGTGATGGTGAGTGCAGTAGGTGATGGTGAGTGCAGTAGGTGATGGTGAGTGCAGTCGTCCCGCAGCAGCGTGATCACCAACAAGAAACATGAGTGGTATGCCTTGGTGGTAGCCCCAACCACAGTCAGCGGTGTCGGCACAGCTACCACTACATCTACCTTCAGCTACCATTACTGCTATAATCAACAAGAATTATTTTCATATTCAGCTAAAATATTTTTTTATAATCAACCAAATTAACTTTTACTAAGAACTACCAGTATCTCTAATAGTGTAATCCTATGGTAAAACATCTATTCATATTTTGAAACTTGCTACGTGAAAAGGCACATTGGCGTAAAAATTTGAACAGAATCTTGGTTTCACAAAAAAATATTCATAAGTAGGAAAAAGAAATGGAAAGGCTCCTGAAGCTATAGAGCTTCGTTTAGGGCAAAGCAGAGCCATCCCGATAAATACCAGAAAAAATGTCATTTGCTCGTAATTCATACTTGCTGTAAACTGTAGAGTAACTAGTTAATAACATAGAATAAAAATTTTTAATATAGCACAGCACAGTAGCTACACTCAAGAAATGAAAGTGAGATATGGTCCTAATAATGACACACTTTATCACCCTCAGCACGAGCAGAGAGCCGCCCTTTGGCCGGGCCAAAATGGACTAGGATTATCCACACGACAGCGAAAAGTGTGTCACTATTTGGGAAAAAGTCTCACTCATTTCGCTGAGTGTAGAAACAACTGAGAAGTATTATACCACGAAACAATTCCTGCACTACGTAAAAGAGGCACGAAAGAATGCTGCAATAACGGTTTTTACCAGATCTAATAATCCAGCTGTGATAAACAATAACTAAATAAAAAGTAAAATGAAAAAAATAACTTTCAAATGACTATAGGCAGAAGAATGTCTAAGACCAAATCACGGCAGAAACCAAATTATAGGTCTTTGCTCAGAAAAGTGAGTGGTTCATTTTATCTAAATATTGACACACTTTCCCACCTCCAGCACAAACTGAGAGGCTGGGTCAAAACTGTCGGAATGACTCACACAAGAGCAAAAATGTGTCACTATTTTGACTTATAGTCACTCATTTCTGGGGGTGTTTGTTCTAAATCAGAAGACATTAATTCCTTTAAACGTAGAAATCTGTGGCAAATGTAAGCCATACATAAAATAATAATAAAGGGGTTAGTAAATAAGTTAATAATTGATAAAACTAACAATTTCTAATGAGGGTAAATGAACGCAGCGGCTACTGTACCTTGAACATCGTGCGAGGTTTCCAGTGAGGCTGAGAAATCAAGTGCATTTTAGTGGATTGCAAGCTCTCTGTGCAATGTGCTCATGAATCAAGTGAATAGAAAACGGAATTCATTTTGTACTCATGAAACGAATGAATAAGTCATTCTGAGAAGTAGATGAAAAATAATTATATTTAAGCTTTCATCAGAAGCAAAGGAGTTTTAAGTTCTAATGCAAGAAGACGATATGAATGAAAGCGTATGAGTAGGTAATAAGTTCATGGTCGGGAATGAAACGGAATGTTTTTTTTCAATAAAATCTACATTATCTCACAGTGAAGGTTGTGAGTTATTTTTTCATATATTTAGTAAGTTTGTCGGACGTAGCAGACCCAGGCCACGCTTGAGTAACGAAATATGTAGCATGTTCGTGTAGAGATTAGTGTTTAAAACATAACATTCTCCTAATGAACGAGTCATTATGCAGAAATGTATCATGATTGAAGTGAACATAAATTGACGAGTGAAGCTTACTCAGAGCGCGTAGAGCGCAGCAAGAGTGTATATCTAAAGTATGTAGCGATGTTTTGATGCGCATTTTAATTCAAGCACAAAACAGCCCATAAAATTTTCCAAATTTTTGAAATTTTGTTTAATTTAAGCAAGAAGCATGAAAAATGTATATATATTTATTCATGAATGCGTGTAAATAGAGGAAATCCCAAGCTAGCATAACATTATTTAAGCTTTAATTATGGCAGAAGTGTGCGTAACAGAATATATTTATGAAATTGACACCAGTTTATATTCTAATAAAATAACGAAGTAATAGCACGTCACAAATTCTAGAAAAATGTAAGTTATTTTAAATTGCTAAAGTTTTAAAGTCTTTTTTTTTTAGTTATTTTAAAGTTTTAAAAAATTATTAAAGCAATCGAAAAATTATGAATATTTTATGAGTATTATATATATTTAAACTCACATCAAATCCACCAGCGCCTCCGAAGCCAGGCTGCCCAGGAGGCCCAGGTGGGCCTTGGTACCCAGGCGGCCCAGGCCTCCCGTCCAGTCCAGGCTCCCCTTTGGGCCCAGGCAGGCCTTCGGGGCCCCTTTCTCCAACGTCCCCGCGGGGCCCAGACTGCCCAGGAGGGCCCCGTGGCCCAGCAAGCCCAGGCATGCCATCTTTCCCAGCTGGACCCTCTGGACCTAAATAAATAGAATAACTATAATACAGTTTATATGGCATTATTGTTAAGTTGTTAATTATTATAAATAATAATTATAACACAATTTATGGGACATCATTATTAAAATGTTTATAAATACCACCAATACCCAGGTAACAGTGAGTAGGATTGACATTATTAATAGTAAAACTATCTCGGATTAACAGCTTTTATAACTGTACAGAGGGTTAATCAAAGATCAAATCAAGGGACATATCAAGGACCAAATTATAGGTTAATTACATGGACCAAATCAAGGACAAAACCAAGGATACGCACATGAGAACCGCCCCCCTATCGGTCCCGATGACCTACCTATTGGTCCCGATGACCCACCTATTGGTCCCGATGACCCACCTATTGGTCCCGATGACCCACATATTGGTCCCGATGTATCACCTATTGGTCCCGATGACCCACCTATTGGTCCCGATGTATCACCTATTGGTCCCGATGACCCACCTATTGGTCCCGATGTATCACCTATTGGTCCCGATGACCCACCTATTGGTCTGATGACCCACCTATTGGTCCCGATGACCCACCTATTGGTCCCGATGACCCACCTATTGGTCTGATGACTCACCTATTGGTCCCGATGACCCACCTATTGGTCCCGATGACCCGGGCAGGCCCCGTGGGCCCCGCAGGGTGTCGGGCACCTTGGTCACCAGCCTCTCCAGGATGGCTGTGTCGTTGCAGGAACATTCGCCGCCCTGTGCACAAAAAAAAATTCACAAAATTCACGAAAAATTCATGAAATTCACGTAAATTCACGAAGTTTACACACTTTACAACGAAATTAGAGCTCGGTGCAGAAAATTAAAAAAAAAGTTCCACGAAATTCACGCAAAATTCATAAAATTCACGCAAACTCGCAAAGTTTACACACTTTACAACGAAATTAAAGCTCAGTGCAGAAAATTCACTAGCGAAATTTACGCACTTTCAATTAAATTTACGCACACCGTATGAAATTCACGCAAACACGTAAAGTTCAAAGAATACCCATGATATTCACAAGCAGTGCATAAAATTTAAGCAAACCAATGAAATTCTCGTTGCAATTAATTAATAGTATAAAATGTACACAAAACGCATAGATCTTGCGCAAACTCAAGAAATTCGGGTGAAACTCGCGCAGTTTTTCCAAAAGTCAATATTTGTTATCACTTATCCTCGCCAAAAGCGCTTTACCTTTATAAACCTAAAAAGTATTATAGCCAAGTAAATGATAATTATTGGTTTAATTCTACTAAATACTAAACACTAATTCAATTCTACTAATACTAATCCCTGATTTAATTCTAAAAAAATACTAATCACTGATTTAATCCGTTGATGAAATATGAAATAACAAATCCTCAATTATTTATTTGATTCTGCAGGCACTAAAATAATTTATTGGCTCTTTGATTTAGTAAAGTCAGATTCTTATAGCAATGAAAACAAACACAATGATATTATTGTAGTGAAGTTGGATTATTTAGATTTAAAACCACCACAATCACCATAAATCACCATTTATATTTATCGGCTCTTTGATTTAGTTAATTTAGATTCTAATAGCAATCAAATCAGCACAATGATATAACTTTAGTGAAGTTAAATTATTTAATCTAAAAAAAAGCCGCAATCACCATAAAATTCTCGCCCCCGGGGCCCATGTCCCCGAAGAAGGAGGTGCCGGGTGGGCCAGGAGGGCCCGAGGGCCCCTGAGGGCCTCTTATTGACTGCCCTGGTGGGCCCTGATGTCGGGAAGAAATATAACAATTAAAATAATATTCAAAAGTCAGTAATAAGTGAAAAAGTTGTTTATATTTATAATAGAATATTATATACGGTAATAATATTATTATATACGGTAATAATAATATTATATAATATAATATTATATAATAGAATATTACAAATAAAGTAATATAATGGCAACTGACTTGATAAATATGCTAAATAGAGAACCACGGAGTGCATACAACTATTATAAGTACAATTTTGTAATAAAATTCGGACTTAAGAACATGTATCTTTTTCATCAAGCGTGAAGACAATAATAATAATTGACACCATTACATTACATAATGTAAAGTCATTAAAATATTATTGTTAACAGTTTAAATAACCTATGAAACCCTATGAAACAAATAATATAAATAAAAAATAATCGATTAAACAAACATGAGTTACATATACAGTTTTAGAAGCTCATGAAAGTAAAAAATCATTGGATTATTGTACCTAATTCGTTAAAACAAAGATTTATCTTAAATGCAAAGAATTATTCTATGAATTTTTCGTAATCTCGATGATTAAATTAGATAACAAGGATAAGATTTACCGGATATATAAAGCATGTAACTCACAGGCAGCCCTCGCTCCCCCTTCTCTCCCTTCAAGCCGACAACTCCTGAGAAGTCAAAATCTGAAAAAATTGGAATTTTCGCTAATTAATACCATGAAGAACAAAATTTTTTTCAATTAAATTCCTACTGTGTACAAATATCATCAAAATCTTGAAAAGGATTATAAGGAACTAAATGTCATCCAAAGGCAATATAATTATCGATATCGCACATAGAAAATGAATTAATATTGAAAACAGGAAATTAATTAGTGAAGTCATTTTCTAGATTTCTATTTTGCGCTTATATTGACGTTTGAGGCAATTTGCTTCCTACAATATACAGGGTTAATACAGTATAAAGGCTCAATGCAGCATACAGCGTTAACACAGTATATTGGGTTAATAAAATTCGCGACACTGAAAAAGGATTTTAGAATTTAAGAAAATATTAAGAGACAAAATTACCAGGCACTTATTGAACTCAATTAAGGCGAATGTAGCAACTGAGTAAAAAAATTATAATCCGTTACCCGATGTGTAATAACAGCAGTTTCATCAGGTTAAGGTTATTACAATAGCACATTATTTAGATGCCACACAAACATAACATTACATCTAGTCGAAGCAGCAACATTTTAAGAGCAGGAGAGCTGCTGAATTAAAAGCTTGAGCGGCGCCAGCTCTCTCGTAGGCCGGGATTGAAATCAACAAGATTGTGGCAGCGAGTTGGGGGTTCGAAACCCGGAATTAGCTGCGAAAATTTGGGTCGAAATCAGCACAGTGGCCGGATGGTTAAGCATCGGATAGTTAAGCAAAAGATGGCGTTATCTAAGGTGACAGTATTATACTATATTAATGTTTTGGGAAACTGTTGTATACATTTTTCAACGTTGTTGGATAGCAGATGGGGCAGTCGCATCTGAAGTAATGACATTAATCAAGGTGCAGAGGGTTGTTTGATTATTACTATTATTATTAATATTAATATTAATATTAATAATATTAATATTAATCGATTATTATTAATATTAAAGCAGAGGGTTGTTTATGAAGTTCGCAAACTGTAGAATTTCCATGAATTATTGACGCAACACTGCCGAGACAATATGGGAGTTGGCGCTTTTTTTTACAGTATATCCACAAAAAAATGAATGGGCATATTGCGCCCATTATAGGTTCCAAGTATTTTACTCGTAGCACGAACAGACATATTATAACAGATATAACATTGCATTAGTTTTCATGAACTCCGTGAAAAAGTTGACCATTTTTATGACTGAAAAATAGAAGTGGTGTAAGAACTAAAAATTAAGATAAAAACAGCGAATGTTAAAAGATATAACGTTTATTGTACAATTTTCTGTTATAATTATGAACGTTTTTTAGTTAGATGGTTAGATTTAGTTTCCAAAGTTCCGAGTTGAGTAAAACTTCCACAGTTTCTTCTAGTGTTGGATTAAATTGCAGTATCAGTTTCAGTATTTGCAGCGCAATTCATGTCTGCGCTACGTAGTTTGCAGCTGATTCTTCGATCGGGCTTCAGTTGTCCGGTCTTGCAATTAACATTAGTTTTGAGAGCCATACTCCGTCCAGGATTAATGATTCCGTGCTAGCTTAGAGGTAAGTCGTGAACCCCCAAAAAATTGCATATTATTTACCAATTTTGTAGGTAATGAAAATGTTAACAGGTTATAGCATTTTGAGGTCAATTAATTCGGCATTAAGTTTCAAAATTGAAAAAGCTGTAGGACTTCTTGGTAGTTTATGCAGTTCGAGTTAGGCTTCATATTTCCAGTTCAGTTATGATTGGTGTTAAGAGTTCACGTTAGAAAATAGATGAGTATTTCCGTTTTATTCGCGTAGTTTTAAGATGAGTATTACGAGTCGAAGTTAGTGAGACAAACCGTCGGTGATTTCCCGCACGAGGTTAGGCGAGCTGGTGACGGGGTTGTGGGGTACCGCCGTGACCGGAGGAGCGAAGTGGATCAGGACTGGTGGAACCACAGCAGGATATGCAGGAGGGAAAGGATGGCTGGGCTGAGAATCCTCAGGTGAACCTGAAGCATCAACCTTTTCGGCAGATACTGAAGGAGTTGCAGGGGTCCAATGCGAGACGGAAACTGGCGGAGTAGATGTACTGCTTCTTGGAGTAAATGGATGCGAATGTACCTCTGAAGTAGTAGTGGTTTCAGCGTAGGATGTGGTAGAAGCCAAATCTTGAACCGAAGAAGTAAAAGTAGTAGCAGGAGCATCAGTGGTATCTTCGGAATTTATCAAGACATTTTCGCTAGAGCCTGATGATTCCGTGTGGTCTTCATTTATTGTACCATAATTTTGGTCTCGATCAAAGTACAAATCTTCTTCGGTGTTAGTTGCTGGTTCATCCCCACTGCCAACCTCATCCTCTTTTCCCCATCCCGAGCTGTCATCGTCATCAATGTCAGTTTCCGTGTACAACGATCCATCCGTATGGATCCCCTGTACCATTCCAGACCCGTAGTAGTCTAATGTCGAAGCAGGCGTAGAATGTGGACGGGACCGAGGTTCTTTATAGGAAGTTGTTGCAGGATGAGTGGAAGAAATGAATACACTTGTTGTGGTCCTTGGTGTGGTACTTGATGTTTTCGTGGTAAACGGGCTGGGAGTTGTACGAGGCTGTCTCGTTGTAGTGGAAGTAGTTGGTAAGGAAGTAGTGAAATTTGCGTAGAATTTCGTATAGTAGTCATCTATTACTTCACTGGAATACTCCACTGTATCATTATTCTCGTCATAGTCATAGTCAGGATCGGAGTAATCAACATCAGGTTCTTTGTAATACTGCGGGCAGTGGTTGTTCAGAGATTCTGGCAAGACAAAGTTGCCTCTGTCAAAGTCGAGACACGGAGCGTCCTCCTCGTCAATATCAGGAAGCTGTTCACATGTGAAGGCTTCATTGGGCCACTGCAGATGGTATTCCAGCCTCCTACTCTTGCAGTCATCGAATGCGTGATCACAAAGGTATTTACATGGAGGTAAAGGTCTTGGAGTCCCAGGTATACAAGGAGGAGAGTACAAAGTGCACACTAGGAACGTGAAAATGTCGCTGCATCCAACGGCTTCGACGCCATGCAGTAATGCTTCGCCTAAGGTCCTAGCAACTGAATAATTCTGGCCCAAGAAACTTGGGTACGTGGTTCTGGTCCAAGCAAAATGTTGGCAGCCATGGATGAGCTCTTCAGAGCAGTGGGCAGTGCTACATCCAGGATCTTTGTACGCACGCAAAACCGAATGAAAAAAGGGAAAATTTACGAACTGTTATATAAAAAAGTTTGATATAAAATTCGACATTCTGGAGAAATGTAAATAAAATGTAGGCCAAACCTATAAGTGGAAAATTGCACAGAAAACCATAACAAAAATTAAAACTTCCAAAATTTCTTTGGGAATCATTCACTCTGCTGACAAAAATTTGGTCACTAAGACCACGAATAATTACCAAATCCACCAATTATCAAGCTTAAAACTCTATGCACAAAAAGCTTCCTGGTAAAATTAAGACTTACAAAAAGAAAAAAAGGACACGCTAAACTCGAGAAAGTTAAATTATATAATAAAAATTTAAATGCATTCAAACATTAAAATGAAGGCTCAAAATCACTTTAAAAATTTCAGACAATCATTTGCAATAAAATTTATCAATCATGCTTTTTTAGAACAGAAAAAAGGCGCACAATTCAATGTTTCAAGCATAGAAATTCCAATGGCAGTTAAAAAGCATCTTTTACTCCAGCAAAATTTCAAAGACATTTCTGAAAGGAAGAAAGAAAAAACAACGCAATAAAATGAACTTGTGTACCTTCTATTTTATTCTACAGTGCTAATGTGTTTTAATAGATTTTGTAGTGTTTAGATTAGAAAGATCTATCTTTAAGAACAGTCATCATGGTATTCTAGCGGTATATTTAGAACACGATGTAAAGTAACATGCGACATGAAACGCCACTTTTCTGGGAACGTACTATCAAAACTCGTTTAAGTACACGTAGCGGCCTAAGCATACGTAGCGGCCTATACGTAGTACACGTATGGTGGGTTTAACTTGAAAAGCCGTCAATGATTGTCTCACGAACTTACATTCGCTTAATTATTTTTGATAGTACGCCCCTGGGGCCATACTTTCAAAACTCGCTAAGTGAACGTAAGTATTCACGCTCTATTTTCTTGTCTATGATTGGTGGATTTTGCTTGAAAGGCCGTCAATGATTGGCTGATGAACTTACGATCTCCTAACTTTTTTTGAAAGTATAGGCCCTGGTCGATTTTATTGTCGAAAAATACGGTACTTCAAGCTTGAAAAACGTGCTTAAGTCTCACCAGGGAACGACACCCGAACACAGGAAGGGGTGGGTAGCAGTGGTAGAGAGAAATGCTAAGTGCATTACCACAATCTATAAGGCTAAACTTGGAAAAATTAATGGGTCATATTGTCTAAATAGTGACACACTTTCTCGTAAACAGCACGAGCAGAAAACGGATGTAGCAGTGATATGAAGTTTTGCCGGGGTAAACGGAGTTTGAATGACACAAAACGGTTCAAAAAGTTCATAGTTATTTGGAGAAAACCTGATTAATTTCTCAGAATTATAATCAGACTACTAAAAGAGACCAATAACCGATCGATTTTTTTCATTTTAAGTGATCAATAACCGATCATTTAGCACTATTAGTCACTTCAAGTGATCAATAACAAATCACTTATCACTATTATTCACTTTGAGTGATCAATAACTGCGATAACTTCTCATCATTTGTGCAAACAACTCAAAGAGATAACGTCAGTCTCAGAGTAAGGATAAAAACGACTAACAACACGATGGTACTATTTTAAAAAATTATTTATGAAAGCAAAAATCTTAATATCATCTAAGTTATAAAATTAGTTTAATGAATAGACCGTTTATACGCTGCCATTCAGTCAACGCCAACACGCAAGCAGAGCTTGAGATGAAGTTATTTATCGTTAAAATTAAAGTTTTAATCGTACCTTCAGAATCGTAGGTGGGGGGAGGAGGGGGTATTGGTGGGGGGCCCCTGGTGAGACCGTCCCCATCTCCGGACCCCTCAAAGGGGGGCACGTAAGCATCATCTACACCATCGGGCTGCAATAAAACGGGTTTATTATTAATATCCTTCAATGAAATTAATGTTCATAAATGTTATTAGATTTAATTAGCACGCACAAAGCCCAGGTTAATTAAGCATACGGGACATACATGATCTAAAAAAAATTTCGATTTTGAACCTCAGCTTTTGGCTTCCCATTTAGTTTTTAAATTGATAATTATTATGGCGAATAACACAAGCCATGTCAAATAAAAATCGAGCCTCAATTCAAAACGAAAAAAGATCGTGATGTCCTAAGTAATATTGTCCTACTGTAATCGTGACACACTTTACCCCCAACACGATCAAACAGCGGACGTAGCATTGATATACGTCTTATTGCCGGGCCAAACTAGGTCAGTGTGACACACACAAGAACATAGCATGTGTCGCAATAATAAGACAATGTCAAACTTATTTCTCTAAATGTATGGCGAGCTAGTAGAGCAAGTATTGGCCAGCGAGTTAGTAGAGCAAGTATTGGCTAGCGAGTTAGTAGAGCAAGTATTGGCCAGCGAGTTAGTAGAGCAAGTATATTATTAATATCCTTCAATGAAATTAATGTTCATAAATGTTATTAGATTTAATTAGCACGCATAAAGCCCAGGTTAGTTAAACAAACGGGACATAAATGATCTAATGAAAAATTTCGATTTCGAACCTCAGCTTTTGGCTTAAAATTCAGTTTTTCAATTAATCATTATTATGGCGTCAAAATCAAAGCCGAGCCTCAATTACAAAACAAGAATCAGATCGTGATGTCCTAAGTAATATTGTCCTAATCGTGACACACTCTCTACCCAAAGCACGAGCAAACAGCAAACGTATCTCTGATACGTCTTTTTGCCGGCCAAACTAGGTCAGTATGACTCACACAAGAACATAGCATGTGTCGCTATAATAAGACAACGTCAAACTTATTTCTCTGAATGTTTGGTCGCTGTACGTATGCAATATGCAATTCTGTTGTATGTTTGTATGCAAAAAAAATATCCAACCCAATAAGCGTTGTTAGAGAAATGAACAAGAAATTAACAGTATCCTATATATCTTAATGTAGAAACAAGTTGTATAATGTTAAAGTTGAATTATCTGATAAGGAAATGAGTGTATTTGCGATCAATATTACAGTATATAGAATAATCATTTGCCCGAGTAAGTGAATTTTCTACGTTAACTCATTCTTCAACTCTGCTCAAAACATACCGTATAGGTATTGTTATTCCTGCTGCAAGATACACACATGTTTTCTATATTAAGGATTACGAAGGATAATAAAAAGGATAACACAAAGACGAGTATTTAGTACACGTTTCGTTTCTCAGTGAAATTTTGTGTGTGCTAAAAACCTAATCTAAAAATCTAAAAAAATGTATCATGAGTGTGAGAAGGAACATAGCAACACTACATTTCCCTTCACGCAACCCAACAAACTGCCGTGTCCAGCCTAGGCGTCCATCTAATGGTGATCTTACTGTTACTGTTACTTACTGTTAGTATAGGAATTATTGGCCAGCGCGTTTATATAGAAAGCATCAATCAGTTATACAACCACAAGATATTCATCCTCGATGCTGATATATTGCTGATATCGCTACAGGGATTATGGTGAAGCGCAAGGAATATAGTGATAGTTTAGGATATATGGTTAGTAACAGTTTAGGATATATGGTTAGTGACAGTTTAATTGGAAAAATAGTAAGTGGCAGTTTAGGATAAATACGATGGTTAGTGACAAGGTAGGAACTAATGATTAGTGATAACTTAGGAAGCAATGGTTAGTGGCAGTGTAGGATATATTGGCTAACATGTTAGTATATAGGAAGCATTGGCCAGCGCGTTAGTATTGCAAGTATTGGCCAGCGAGTTTATATAGAAAGCATCAATCAGTTTATATACCACAAGATATTCATCCTCGATGCTGATATCGCTTCTGCTGCCGTCACCGGACCCAAACTGAAAAAATAATACAAATGTAAAAGTAAATAAAAACAATAAAATCAAAATATAACTTTAATTATAGAAATGCAGGAAACAAACAAATAATAAAATAACGAACCAGTTACATAAACTCATTCATATTAGGAAAAATAATAATAATGTAAAAACAATTGTGAATTTAGTAAAAGGACACAATCGATCTGAAAATCAATAAAGAATTTAATAAATTAATCCGTTCGCTTTCGACATAAATTGCGTGTGCAGCGGTGACTCATGAGTCAACATGGGAGATTTTTCTCAAAAAGTTGCAGCTGATTTGAAATCAACAGATAATAGCAAATACTTAAAATCTAGACCCTTTTAAGGTATTTTAATTCTTCAATTATGTGAATTTCAAATAAAGTGATAAAATAGCCTTTTTTGCACTTATTTTATCTCATCACACCTGGACCTATAGGGTGTGGTGACATCACACCTGGACCTTTAGGGTGTGGTGACATCACACCTGGACCTTTAGGGTGTGGTGACATCATACCTGTACCTTTAGGGTGTGGTGACATCACACCTGGACCTTTAGGGTGTGGTGACATCATACCTGCACCTTTAGGGTGTGGTGACACCACACCTGGACCTTTAGGGTGTGGTGACACCACTACTGGACCTTTAGGGTGTGGTGACATCACTACTGGACCTATAGGGTGTGGTGACATCACACCTGGACCTATAGGGTGTGGTGACATCACACCTGGACCTATAGGGTATGGTGACATCACTACTGGACCTATAGAGTGTGGTGACATCACTACTGGACCTATAGAGTGTGGTGACATCACTACTGGACCTATAGGGTGTGGTGACACCACACCTGGACCTTTAGGGTGTGGTGACATCACTACTGGACCTTTAGGGTGTGGTGACATCACTACTGGACCTATAGGGTGTGGTGACATCACACCTGGACCTTTAGGGTGTGGTGACATCACACCTGGACCTTTAGGGTGTGGTGACACCACACCTGGACCTTAACACAATAAGATACAGTGGGCAACGTATTTTATTATTATTAATTCCTATTCTAATTTCCGAGCGTAAAATAAATAGCAGCACCGCGTAGGATGCAACACTAAAATTAGCGCTATGGCGTCATGGTGACAGTAGAACCAAATACTTAATTATTCTGCGACCAAAAATATTACAATGCAAATCTTTCGTGAAGCTTAAGTTAGGCAAATAAATGCAATATATGCGGATATAGTTCAGTGAAATATAATAAATTTCGTTGTAAGTGTTTGTATTAATTGTATTTCATCGAGCCCGAGTTAGGTAGTCAGAAATATGTACTTGGGACCTCCGGCGAAAAAAAAGGATGGCGAACCTCCGAAAAAAAGATGGAGCGCACCGTTACAGTACTTAACTTAAAAAGCCTCCAAAAACAGAAAAATATTTACCATAATTCCATTGAAAAGGAAAGAATTAATATTAATTATAACTATATACAATATGAATAAATAATTAAACAATTTATAAATGATAATAATTGAATTCGATGTAATATTGGTAAATAAGCTCGCTATTTTCTTTGCTTTCAATTTTTCGATTAAAATCCATTTCTGAACAATAATAGAATAAATACTTATTTATCTAACAATTTTTGCAATCAATTCTTATACATGAGGTATGGTCACTGTGAGGTATAGTGTGAGATATCGAGCAAGATATCACCCATTATTGACTTCTTACCCTAGTGTTATATTTTTATTATCTTTAAATATAGATCAGAAGCCTCACGGAACTAATATATAAATGCCACGTCGAGCACAGTGAAAAATATATGTATATCACCTATATATGAATACTCATAATGTATATGTATAGCACCTATATATGAATACTAGTGTAGGCTGGCAGAATTTCTTCTCTTAAGCAAGTTTTGTAAAAGACCAGAGAATTAGTTTTATTTATTAGCTTCTTGTTAGTTTTTTCAATAAGTCGTACTAAATTCTTCGTAGGTGTTGGAAGATTGAAAATTAAATTACCGATGGACATTTTTAATATTGAACGACGTTTCGAATGTACAACATACATTATTACATATATTACATATATGAATACACATACTGTACATGTATGGCACAAATATAGAACATAGGAGAAAGTAAATTAGCTAACTTATTCGGTATGGTCTACAAAAAACCGGAAACTCGTCTCAGCCTAGCATGAAGCCTAGACACAAAAAAGCGAGTTTAACGCCCACGAAGGAAAATGTTTAATAAACAGCCCAGCCGTATGCCCCAATAAATACCCGACCACCCACCACATGTGGGCCAATTTTCCACAAGCCCTAAAACTGGCATGGCAGTCAACACTGTAGGCACGTAAGCTTATCATTTGGTCGCCGCCCTCATCAGCATAACGACCAGACGCCTGCACGCAAACTTCGTTCCATTACTAAAAAAAATTTCTTCCTAAACCATAATTTTATACCGTGTAATTTAGGTGTAATTTAATCAGCCAGCCCATTTGCTGTCAGTCCGGGTTCTTTTCACATGCACAATAATTAGGGAATTAGGTGAGTGTGAATTATATTGTAAACTTTTACTTTCGTCACACGCACATGTAATTCTCTGATACCTACACTGTATAATAACTGCTAATTATGTTGAAGCTTTCATACACAATTATTTACTTACGTCAAAAATATCTGTAATATTCAGATACCTATAAATTATACAGTCTGTGGTTACCTATATACAGTATAACGTCCAATACTGAATGAACTGATAATTACGTCAAGGCTTTCATGCCACGTATTTTTATAACAAGTAGTAACTATTAATTGATAAAAAAACTAATTTTTTAGCGAATTTCAGTGACCAAAATCATAAAAATTCTTCCTTGAAAAAATACGAACTAATTTCTGACAAAGAAAAGTGAAAGTAGAAAAGTCATTTACGCGTAAAAGAATATTTATTTAATGGCAAAATAATTTAAGAAAAACTTTTTATTTGGCTATATGATCCTAATATATAGACGAAACGAACAAAGTATTTGACATGAACACTAACACTCACGCCCACCGTAACAAACGAGGCTTGTATTTTTAAGTAGCAAAAAGCCGTGATGAGGGAGATTATCCTCAGTGTTGGCGGCAACTCGAAACGACACACCCACACGGGGCCGGGGACGCAAAACGGAATAACTTTTCGCTGGAATGTTCAGTGAGAAGAATCGTGTCATTGTGAATTATTCAGCAACGAACACAAGGTGAAATTGTATTAACAATCGAGGTTGCACCTTTGCAAATATTTGTAATATGTAAGATTTAGCTAATCACTTGAGAAATTTAATCCTTAATATCATAAATAGGGTCAAATATGACATCGTTTTAAATATTTTACACACAGCAGGCTGCGATTAACTGATAGCCTACGCCAACATATGTACAAGCAATGAATAACGGCAAATTACGAAGCCAGATAATAGTAATTTCGTTAAGAATGTTCACGCTTCATACAATGCGTGATTCAAAATAATTCAACTGCGCAATTCAAAATTTTTTAGTCAAAGAAGTGTTTTTCAGAGAACAAAATTGGTAGCTTAAAATGAGATTTCCAGGTAACAGACGGAGATAGTGTCAGGATATATTGCAATACTTTTCAAAAATAAATTTGTGTACATTTTTTGTGCATTCTTCTTAAAACGAGAATTCCAGATACCGGAGGAGGTGTCCTAATATATTGCAATACTTTTCGAAAAATTATATTTTTTTGTGTTAATATGAGCTGCATTCTTCACCTCGTGTAGGCTGGCGATGATCTCACATTTTCCGTGCTGCTAATCTCACCAACACTCAACGCCGACACTAATTTTTAACTGTCCAATTAATCTCGTGTTCAGTCAAGCAGGGAAACTAAACTAGATTGGCAGGAATTGTATGGTGCTCAACATTGATCATACGTGCCAATATGCAGTAAAATTAAACGTTACGTCGATCAACGTAATAAGTAAAACCTTAATAATATCAGGCAGGACAAGTAATCTATTAAAATACGTAACATGAATAATACGAACGCTAGGGGAAAATTTATTCGTGAATTATACATTTTAATATCAAAAGCTAATTAACTGGCAAAAGTTATGTTAAATTACATGTTTAAAAAGATTAAATTTCAAATTATACAATATATTTATACTGCTGTTTTATGAATAAAACGCAAAGTATTGGATGCATAATTGTTTGATTTTAAGGAACTCTAAAATCAGAGACTTCGATGCTCTGAAGGAAATGATCACGCGCACGTGTACAGGTTATGTCTGTATATGTTAGTTTCACATATTAAGCATTAAAACATTTTACTTATCTCTGCAGCCAAAAAAATATAACTCAGTACTCACTGCAGTAAGTGACAGAGAGCGCATTTTCTCGTCGACGAAAACTTGAAGTCACGGACGGTCGGGACGGACGGACAGACGGGCAGACAGACAGACAGACAGACAGACAGATGGACATGGCGAGCACTATAGTGCATTTTTTCCATAAACGAGAAAATGCGCTAAAAACAGTACATTTTCCAATTATGTTAGGGCTATTTGAGAATGAGAAGGTGAACAAGATAGAAGAACCTCTTGCTGTCTTTACTTAAATTTATGTCTACTTTCTTGCTGCTCTTTATAAGAAAACTCAAAAAATGCTATCATTACATTACGCGTTCACTCCATTCACAACAATAATTTGCTACATTTGTTACATGCACATACGTAACACAAGATAATACAGTTTGTCAGCTTTAGACAGTGCGTCTTGTCTTCATCATATTGACCATATTACGCCAAATAGACTAAAATGTGAATGGTCATATTGCGCAAATAGTGACACTTCTGCACGCACTTCAGACACGCTCAGCTACCGGTTCGAAGCATGGTCTTCAACATCAAGTCTCCAACATTAAGTCATAACAACAAGGTATGAAGTCTTTGGAAGTAGCATAAAGCTTTAAAACTTCAAACACAAACTTTCCAAGTTAATAATCTCACGCAACGGCCACTGGCTGATGAGAGTGTGTCATAAACTGAATTAAAGCAAAAGAAGCGAGATAATAAAAAGGCTTTAACAAAAATCCAGTTCTGCTGATTCCATCATACCCAAATTTTTTTAAATCGATTATAAAAAAAAGAATTCTCAAGGGCCACCAAGAACTTAAATTTATCCAACGCAGCCGCCACCTCCGTTACCGGATGACGCACAGAGAGCAAATAGTGAGTCCCATTTTTAACAAACTCTCACTGATTTTTTGAGTGCGCGTCTCGCAAATGCATTCTCCAGCACAAGCAGATCTTCTCGTCTCGCAAATGCATTCTCCAGCATACGCAGATCTTCTCTCGTAGGTGGACACAAGGACGAAAAGATATGTGCATACTTCGCTGATAGACAAGCAGTAAATTTGTCAAAGTATTGCGCTCAACAATGGCTTACTGGCTATCGTTACCCGTCGGTACAGGCGGCACTGAAGTGCGAGCGGTCATATAAGGCATTACTACACCTACCACTTTAACTCTTAACTTGAAGTAAGAACTTAATCCCAAACTTCTATCTAGTATCTAGCTCAAACCCACGTGTGCTAATCTTAATAGGAAAATGGTTAAGGTTTCACTGAGAAGATTAAACTTGCTTCACGAATAC